AACATTTTTTAATAAAATATAATTTTATGTACTATGTTAGTAAATGAATGAATTCATAAATAAATAAATACTTTTATTTGAATAATATTTAATAATAAATAATACTGACAAGGCTGGCAGTGTATTCACAACTATTAAGCATGCACAGTTATCTTCAACGGTGTAACTGGTCCTTGCAGATAAATTGGTCTATCTCAGTGTTTGTGTTGTAAATCTTCAGTCAGTATTGATGATTGATCAGCAGAGGTGACTGGTATGTGTGTGTCCTTGGAGATGTTGTGCGTGAGAGCGGTGTGTCTTGAATGGAGACATGATTGCTTTGGCGAATGGCTGTCTGGCTAAAGAGCCGGTGTTGGAAATGTATGTGGGTGTGGAGTCTGGCACCTCTCACTCTGCACAAACAGAAATCAGATCACAGGGGTTCGCATGATGAAACAGAGCCCCAAATAACCCACGGCTGCTTAATTAGGCTGTCGGGCCAGGGGATCCTAGTACGTCCGTCTGCAGCCATATTAACCACCCCATAGGATTGAGGAGTCGAATTGTAATGCACATTTTAGTGTCAACAAATTGTGGATCAAATGTTGTCCAAATGAAATGTTATTGCCGTGGAGGCTTTTAAATATACGGCCAGACGATTTTAATAATTCATGTACGGAGACTTGTCAGGTTAAGCAGGAAGCACGTATCCCTGGCTGTTTAAGGTTTTTAATGAGAGGAAGTCACGGACTTGCATCAAGACCGATAACATGTTTTGCTTCTCTCTTCTCTCGGCAGCGGGCTGCACGTTTGATGAGGACTCCGACCCCAGTCTGTGCGAGTTCAGCCAAGGGGAGGAGGATGACTTTGATTGGCAGCTGTTCCGCAATCATGCCTCGCCACACTCCACCTCTGATCTCCTGCGCGGTAAGTCTGCCCAGCATTGCCCATTCTTATTCTGCCTGTTTATTTCACACTGTGTCGCAAACAGTTTCACACCGTGGACCTGTCCATCTCGGATGGCCTCCTACTGGCCTCATCAGTGACAGCCGGAAAGATGGCCCCCATCGCAGCATGCTGTTTCTTTTTTTTCTTGTTTTATTTGTAGTTTTGTAAAAAAAAAAATTAAAAAAATTGGGGAAAAGTTTTATTTGGAAAAACGTTTCAAGTGTAAGATGTGTGATATCAGCTCATGTGTTTGTATTTCATCAAATCTACCTGCAACCTTGGCAATATCATACAAAATTCTAATATTTTATTATTTGTCTATATTTATTATGAAGAATAATAATTATTTATTTTATTAAAAATAAAGTTTAAAAAAGTAACAATCAACAGATACATTTTGTTTTAAAATTGCGTCGGTATTATTCGCAATAAAGTGGTACATTTTCAAAACTTCCAAAAACTTTCACAAAACGCCAAAAAGCTAATCAAAAATGTAGTTTTAATGCTTATTTGCCACACAAAATCATAAAGTACCTTTTGCTACACTTACTGTAATCTTTACATAATTTTATGTATATCATATTTTTATTATTGTTTTTAAAATCCCATATTTATTCTTATTCTTATTCTTATTCTTAATATTATTATGACTGTGCACACTTTGCCAATTAATATTGCAACATCTGACAGCCTTGTTAATATTATTGTTATGTTATGTATTGAATAAATGAGCCGTTTGTTATTAAAATTATTAACATACAATTATGAATGTTATTTCAATATTTTATATTCACATTTGTATTATTATTAATAATAATAATAATAATAATAATAATAATACCCCATAATAAACCCATCCATCTTAGATGCCTTCCTACTGCCACCCTGTCGCAGCATGCTCTTTATTTTTATTTTTTCTTTGTAGTTTTATACAAATTTTAAGAACACTTCATGTGTAAAATGTGTAGATATAATTAAATCAGGAACTACTGGGAACATGTAGCTAATATTCAAATTTTATCAATGGGTTGCTGCAGGAAATTATTCCCCTGGCATGGATGTATTCACTATGTGTGGTCACATGCAAATAAACTTTGTGCAGGTGCAATATAAAAAAAGGGTAAAGAGTCTGATCTATAAGAGTGCATCAGCAGCTCTCGTCTCTCAGTGTCTTATTCTGTCCATGTCAACCGGCGAAACAGAAGTGATTAGGAGTTTGGCCCCGCCTGAAACAAATCAATCCCGACAATCAATGAGTTCTTCGAAATGTAGCCCAGCCCCAACGGGACGTGTCAGAGAGATGTGCACGGCCTGCTGGGAAGGGGCTTTTATTGAGAGCCATTGTTGAAACTAGATCAAAACAAGCAGAGGGAGGCAAGAAAGTGCAGAACTAGTAATTGGATTAGGCGACCACCGGTGGTAAGTCAGTGAAAGAGACAGATGGATCGCAAGGACTTCGATGCGAGGAGAGATAGGATGCCGATGACACAATGAAACAGATAAAAACTTGCTAAGGTTCTCAGCGATGAAGTAAAACACAGGGGACCTGGATAGAGAGGCTTGTGAAAAGCATATCTTACGGGGAATGTGAGCCAAGCACTATAATCTATACCAGTTTGAATGGAAGGTCAAAGACTACCAGAGGAGTAGGAATTGACAGAGACGGCTGGCTGTCCTTAATCTTTATGAGTAGACATCCACAAATATAGCAGTGCACAAGTGTACATTTATAATAAAATAATAATAATGTGTAATATAATATAATATAAACAAAAATATAGACAAAACTCTGTCATTCACTGTCAAAAAATGCAGTTTTAATGCTTACTTGTCACACAAAATCACAAAGTACCTTTTCATCTACTGTAATCTAAAGAAAAATCAATATAGAGATTTTATCATGAAAATAAAAAAATATTAATATTTATTTGATTAATTTTAATTTATTTTTTAATATATAATTTTTCATTAATATAAATATATAAAAAATAAAAATTATATTTATATATTTATTTTTTTCTATTTATATATTTGCTTATAAATTACAGGGCTCCAGACTAACATTTGAGAGCAGTGGCACCAGCGCCACTAAATTCTACAGATGGTGGCGCCAGGAGCAGATTTGGTAGCGCTGGGGG